CGGCAGAGATAAGGGATGGAGGGGCTGTGCCACGGTCGGGCGTGCGAGCGGAACGAGCGAGAGCGCGGGAGCCTAACGGGACGGGCGAGAGACGGGCCAAGCGAACGAAATAGGTTAGGGCATAAGGCCCGCGGGTCTCTGAAGAATTAGGGAGAGGGGGTATATATTAGCTATAAAATAGTAATGACAATAATAATAATAATAATACTAATAATAAAAATATTATTATTATTATTATACTTATTTTATTCATTCCCTCCCAGGCGCATCGTCCCAATGAAACGAACGTCTCCCCTAGGTAAAATCGACGTTCCGGACGCGTCGGCGTAGTTCGTTTTGCCATCTAAAGTCGTTTAGGCAACCTCGTCGACGATCAGGTCAAAAACACATCGCGATCTGATTCCCGTCAAAATTTTGGTTTGAGCTCAATTAATCAGGATGGTGTAGATGGTTGTCATGAGATGTTTAAAAAAGATTTGAAGTGATTTTGAGTTGATCGGGAGAGTAAACTTGGTCAATTTTGGGCATTTACTCAATTTGGGGGTGTTGGGGTAGACTTAGGTCTAGGTTACGCTATGGTTGAGTTAGGTCCAAATTGATGGTTCAAAGTGGTCTAGGGGAATGTTATAAAGAATTCTCAATACCAATTGGATGTCAATTTTGGGGTTTAGGCATTCAATTTGGTGGAATTTGGGGAAATAGCCAATTTGGGGCAAATTTAAGAATTTTGAATATTGGTTGAAATTGAGTGAAATTGAGGCTTGACGAGGGCCAATTAAGGGTTCAATTTAATGTGCAGGCTTGTTATGAAGAGTTTAGAATTCAAATTGAGGTCAATTGAAGAGTCCAAATTGGTTTTGAGGGCAAAAGGCTAAATTGAGTAATTGGTGGAATTGAGGTTCTAACCATCCTGATTTGAGCCATGGACCAACGAAATCTCCATCTGGGTCCTCTATGTACTGGTGCTAGCTAAACCCCAGCTTAGGGCTAGAGGGTCTAGAAGACCATCTACATGAGTCTCCCAAAAGAACGGGGTATGACAATCAACGAGTTTAGGTTCGAGGTTATGAATGAATGGGGGTGAAAGTGAGTAATAGTGAGTGAACAGCTCCAGACCAATATTCGGGGCCAACCCTATGGTCAAGCAGTCCTATGGGAACTCGTCTCGAGCTACTCTATATTGACTTCACCTACTAAGTGCTAGAGGTTATGATCAATATGGGGAACTTCAAGTTGAGCAAAGAGGAGTTTAGAATTTCTAAAAATGAGGGTTCCTTTTCTAGTTTTCTAGGAATAGTCAAAATGAAAGTCCTATGACTAGACCTTAAGCAACTAAAGAGGAAAAATTAAACCTCAACCAAAAGTGAGGTCAACAGTATTTAGATGTTATTCGCGCGAATTATTGGTGTTATAGGTGAGCTACATGGTGTTATTCGAACCTTTTACCCGAGCTGGTGATATTCTATAACAATTTATTCAAAATATATAAATGTTGAATATAAAATTAAATTAGATATCCTCTAATACTTAAATTAATTTAATTTACTTTATACAATGTCTATATTAGTATATATTTTATAAAAATTAATTTACTATATTTTAAATAAAATAATTATATTATTTATGAACTATATTTATAATTAGTGTTTCTATATTTACTATGTTAACTTAAAAAAAATTAAAATTATACATACTTAAATATAATTTATAAATAAAGTATTTAAACATAATACACTAATAGTTATAGATATATAATTAATACTAATGTATATTATTTTGAAAATTATTTAATAATTATTAACTAAATTATATAACATGTTTATGTATTAATTTAGTATAATTAATACATTTAACTAAAATTTCTTATAATAATGTTAACTAAATAAAATTATAAATAAAGCTAAATTATATCTTAAAATAAATTTAATTTAAGATATATTAATAATATAAAATACACTTAATTTATAATAATACATATATAATTTTAATAATTTAATATTTATTTTATTTTATTTTATTTTATTTTATTTGAAAGCCCAAAAAGGCTAATATATTAAATAAAAAAATATACAGATACAATGTGTCGGAGGAACTAAGCATGACACCTTGTCCACACAAAAAACACAAATGGTTCCAAAACTAGAAAAAACAGAAAAATACATTAGATACTTAAATAAAAAGTCTAACAGTATCGAAATACGTAGTATCAGGTGGTTAGAGAGAGAGCCGATTTGCTCATGCCTCTGTCTCTAGTTCTAGAGAAGGGCAAGCTAATAAGCTGGTAAGATGATCGTCATTGTCAGTAGTAACCAATGTATCATCCAATATGTTCCCGAGCTGGATTCGGTCTCCATTCTTCTTCTTCCTCATCTGAATATGTTCCTGGAATACACCTGTCATTCCCCATCTGAATAATCAGTCCGATGGGGTGGTAGAGCTCAAGCAGAAGAAATACCAGCTGTAATACCCACAATAGGTTCTACTATATGTGAAGTATGAGTTGCCTCTACACCGGATACTTCCTGAAGAAGTGGAGCTACGATGTTCTCCTGATTATCAGTTTGAACACTATCATTTGTAGGTAATAGACCATCAGTATTATTTTATATGCGGTTTGAAGGTGCCAGCATCACATCACTCGCAGTAACAGTAACAACAATGTCATGGGGGGTTCCTCAGGGGCAACAGACACCTCCTGTCTGGTAGTATCGTCTCTAGGTGGAACTAAAATGTCCAGAGCAGTGGGGTTAGACCCATCCTTATTCACTTGAACCTTAGATTTCAAATTTGGATAAAACTTGTGGCATTTATCAAGGACATGACCAAACATCTTACAGTGGATACAATATGGGGGTCTGAGCTCCATGACGATTTGTTGTCACTAACCATTATGGGTTATGCCTAGCCAGACTTCAATAACATCAAGTAAAGTAATATCCTTTTCCACAAGTATTTTGGCAACTGAGGGTCTGGTTAGGTTGAAAGTTGGTAGATCTAGCTTCAAAGGATCCCCAAGGATGGCCCAAATAGAATAGAGAACCTGATGGTGAAAAAAATACAGCTTGAGACCAAATAAATTGAACTATACCGATACAGTGGGATTCTCATGATTTGGGTCGAAATCAGGAGACCAGTTGAGTAGCTTCATAGATTTACCAGCGATGTTAAAATATTTTCTGGAGAAAATCCGAGTGTAGAAATCAATACATGTCTCTCATCCATGAGACCTACTTTCCACTTTCTTGTTAATTTGAGGTCATCAAAAATTTTCCTGATAATTTCCATAGATGGGTGTCCCCACTGAAATTTCCCAATAAGAGCAAATTTGAATTTGTCAGTTAGCGTTGAAATTTCTGACGTAGAGGAAAAGAGTTATCTTCCCACCTTTTCTGCTTGCATTCATAATAAAGTGACAGTCACATGTACCAGCACGATATTCCTTATAACTTGAAAGGAAGACAACCGCCGTCTCCCCCTGAGAATTACCCACCACGTAGGCAAATGAGGAGGTTTTGTCAGGTTCAACTGAAGAAGAATGAAGCTCCATCACAGCAAAAAAATAGCCCTGCAAGTTGAGCAGAGGTAAAAAGACAAGTCCAAGTGCTGTGCAGGAACCGTAGATGAAATGCGCAGAAGACAAAACACAGGGCACGAAGTCACAGCTGGACAGAAACCGCAGCTCGATCCGCGCAGAAAAGAACCGCAGAGGCTCGAAGGTTAGCTAGAAGGCGCAAAGGAGGAGACGATGAAACCGCAGAAGCAGACGCCTAAGGATTAGCTGCTTATCAGCCCCAAACAGACAGTCAGTTTATCTGGATCAGCTACTGACCAGCAGCTTATCTGGATTAATTGCTTATCAGCCTCAAACAGACCCTTAGCCAATTATCTTAGACCAAAAGAACTAAAATGTGTGAAGATAATGAAAATTGATATGCCAAAATGTGTAAAGATGAGATATATATTACATCGAAAAGTGATGATTTTTTAAGTTGTTGATATGGCCATTGGGGTTGCCTCAATGCGCCTAATTAAGTAATTGGTTAATGTTAGCAAGCATCATCTACCGAAAAACCATGGAAGCTAACCAAAAAGTTCATGTTCCATACGCTGACCAGGCGCTGAGCATGGGGTTAAGTTTCTAGCTAGGCCGGTTGATCGAATTTTGCACTTCTAGGTGAAGGCCTTCATGTTATGTTGGAGTCATTCAATAGTAGCTTTGTTGAAGTATCTTGTCTCTAATATGAACTTTTTGAGGCGACATGCATGCTCCTCGCCATAGATTTATTTTATAACTAATTATATGCTTTTCCTTTCCATTGGCCAACTATTGCCACTCAATGGTCACAAGTGCCGCACAATGTAATCCTCCGTAACATAACACAACATTGCTATTTAGATCGATCACTACATATATGCTGACCCAATTTGGTTACTGTAACATCAGCATCTCACCAGTAGGCCTAAAAGTTCCATCAGAAAGGTAATATAGTTACTTAATTCCCAATAGTACTTGAATAAAAGCTACCACACAGCCATTTCTACTCAGGATTGGTTGTAGCAACATTTTTGTCTCTAGCAGCTTAAAACATCAAGTTTTCACAGCCACAACGTTGGCATATGCAACAAATATCTATTTAAGTAGAATGAAGTATCAATGAACAAAAATGAAAAGCAAAAAACAAAAAACAATCACTGACAGAATAAGAAACAATTTAAACCCATCAAACAGTTATTAAATGAATTGATTACATTTTAAATTATTGAAGAAACCAAAATAGACTGCATATGTTGCGCAAATACTATTCTCTCTAACAGCAAGCATTCATCAAAAGCCTTGATAACCGAAAAAAAAGTATCTAAATTCCATAATATAAGTTTGGAGATATTATGCCAGGAAATTAAAACTGATATAAAGCAAGCAATCGCACATCATTGAAAGATTTCTACCAAATAATGAGAAAATGAATGCAGCAAGTAAAAGACGCTTTGGAAAAACATACAGGATTTGGGTTGAGGAGAGACACATAAGGAATATATCACCATGTGACCAAGTCAAGGGTTTACAGACATTTCCAAAGCGTTGGCTCTTTATCCCGCAACGAGATGCCAAAACAGTAGCACGAATCAGTATATAAACAGCCAAGCTGGTATGTTGTGTTTCCAGTCCCGTTAGGAGCATTGAAGGACCGGCCACAGCACCTGCAAGCAATGCTCTCCATCCTGCAGTTCTGAATAAAATGGTAAAAAAAGTTTCTAATACACAGTAAATAAGTGAGGATAATAAAACCTATAGATTATCAGTTTTTCAAATATGATAAATTTAAGGTGACAGTCAATAGCATTTAGATATCAAGAACTAAATAGATTAAAGATGGCATTACTATATTTTACTAAAGCTGTGCTAGCTGCAATACTCACTTTAATCTCATGGTATGCGACACGTTGAGAAAAATTAACAGCAGTAATATCACAATATCTTCGTCTTAAGAAAAATTAAAGCAACAATATTTTCCGCATATAACTCCACCCAAGACACAACCCTACAAACAAAAATGAAAAGAAAATTTGCTCTATAAATCCACCGAATTCTATTGAGCGCTAGATGATGTGTTTATGTTAGTTAATGCAGCCAATTAACAAATTTCCATCACCATTAATTCACGTTAATTATATCTAACTACATTTACATGCATCTCTACTCTTCATTATATATGCCTTAACCAATTTAGTCTGCTTTGTAGGATGATATCTCATATCTTTAATTTGTGCTGCTCCCACTGTCTGTCCATTTCTATTGCTAATCCATCCTTCCAGTTTAACATATCCATTACAAAACAATTATTTTTGCACTGAATTTAGTTAGTGATTTATTTGCTGCCTAATACTAAAATAATGTAGCATAATCGATGCATGAAATTTTCTACTATTTAATCATTATATTCTTTTAATGCGCACTACTTCTTAAGGCAATTTCACATTTGAACTATTAAGCTCCCACTCAATTTAGTTGTTAATAACTTATATATACCTAATACTCAAGTCATGTAGTATGATCGATGTGAAGTCATTTAACACTACATTATATTATTGCAAGATGTTACTACTTTTAAGGCAATTTCATTTATAAACATTTTACACCATTATTCGTACAGATTCTATCTATAAGTTATGTCTTGTCTTCATTTAAGATTGAGGAAAGATTTTCGTTAATACCAGCTCAATTTAAGACAATCACCAGTAGCCACCAGATCAAAGATTCCACTACAGTATTATTATAAGGTTGGGAGCTATATGAAGGCACAAGTGCCCCATAGCAGAGGTGCCATAACATATCCACTAGATTAACATCTTCATTTGTAACATTTCCAAATGTTAAGAATGAGACCCTCGGTCAATCATTACCGATTTTGTTCATTCCATACTGACAACCAAGCACTAAGAACTTCAAAACCCTTCAAGCTTTCCATCAAACCTGAGTTGAGTGTGTAAACAATTGGCACCAAGTCCTGATAGTATGGTCTAGCATAGCCTTTCATCTCTTTAATTACTTGATTGAGGGTCAGAAACCTTCTGCAATAATTCAAACCCAGGTATCTAAGATAATCACATGATTTAATACATTTGTTGGACACCTGCAAGCTTAAAATATTTCATCTTCACAAAGATTTCGTGAATCCATATTTAGTTTTGTTACTTGTTAGAAGATTCATGGTGGTAGAGTAATATTTAATGTCTTAGCGTTGCACGAAGATCTAGCACATAAACATAAATAATTAAAAAATAGCAGGAGGAAAACCCAATTTTTTTTACGTCGAAAAATTTTGGAAAAGGGAAAAATTATAGGGTCTAACCCAGTCAATGTAATCCGCTATACGATTGTAAGTACATGGGTCAACTCTTCTCTTAAAGTGAAGAAGATGGAATTACAATGCTAATAAATACATATGCACATAGAGTTTAGCTATAATAGTTATAATTAGGCTACAAAAAATGTGTTTCTTTGTTGTGATAGCAATAGCTAAACACAAAGGACATGGTTGGTTGCTATAAAGACAGTAGTTGACATTAAAGGTTATATTTGGTGGTTGCAATAGCGGCGGTTGGTCACAGAGATCGTAGTAGAATGTTGCAATAGTGAGTGACAATATAAGTCATAGTTGGTAGCTGCAAGAGCGTCAGTTGGCCAGATAGGCTAGAGTAGGAAGCTGCAAAAGTAAGAAGCCACATAGGACGTATTTGGTAGTTGCAAGAGCGTCAGTTAACCATAGAGGTCATAATAAGAAGCCGCAACAATAACTGACCACATAGGCTTTAATTGATCACATAAGTCGTAGTTGGTAGTTGCAGTAATATTAGTTGACCACAAAGTTCGTAGATGGAAACTACGGTAGCAGTTAATCATATATATTAAAGCTGATCATATAGGTTGTAATTGGTAGCTACAGTAGTGTCAGTTGGTGATAAAGAACGAATTTGAAAGTTGTAGAACCAATTAGTCATATAAGTCCTAATTGGTAGCTACAGTAACGACATTTGGTGAAAAAGGTCATGTTAGAAACTTCAATAATAGTTAGTCATATAAGAGGTAAATTATCGTATAAGTTATAACTGGTAGCTATAGTAGCGTCACCTAGTCACAGAGGTCATAATTGAAAATTATAGTAGCAATTAGTCATATAGGTCATAGTTAGTAGCTACGGTTGCATCAGTTGGCCACATAAGTCATTGTGAGAAACTACAGTAGTAAATAGCCACAAGGGTTGCAGTTGGTGCTTCGTCGGTTGGTGGTTGCAAACATTATCTTTGGTTTACTATTGTAAACCAGAACACTTGTCAATATACGACAAATAGAATAACTTCAGAAATCTGAAAGTTGCAGTATTTTGAACACGGCGGTCATAAGCAGTTGTCACCATGAGTTATTATCGGATCTTCAATGTGGCGTTATTGTTTACACCAAATTCGAGATACATTATTACAATGTATTTGGAATACGTCGTTACACTGTCTTTGAGATACATCGTTACATTGTATTCAAGATACATCATTATGTATAAAAGTTCAAGGGCTTGCATTCAAGGGCTGCTGACGGGGGTCCACAGTGGCCGGCAAACAAAGATCGACAGTGGTCAACAACTATGGAGGCTGGGAGTTCTCGTCAAGACTTCAATATAGTGTTATTAGTTACATTGCATTTGGGATACGTCGTTACATTGTATTCACAATACGTCGTTACATTGTATTCAAGATTCGTTGTTAGCTAGCAAAGTTTTTCGATGGCAACAAACAGAGGCGGCCAACAAGCGATGGTCTATAGTAGGCAAGGACGGAGGCTAAGAATTATTGTTGAGACCTCAGTACAACGTTATTCATTACACCGCATTTAGGATACGTTGTTACACCGCATTTAGGATACGTCGTTACATCATATTCGATATACGTTATTGCACCGTATTAGAGATACATGATTACAATGTAATTGAAATAAGGCATAAATTCCAAAGATGTCATTATACCGTATTCAAGATACATCATTATGTATAAAAGTTCGCAGATGGCGGCAAATAGGGGAGGTCAACAATAGGTGGCTAATGGGAGGTGTTTGATGTTAGTCGGCGATCATGGAGGCCAGGAGTTATAGTCGGTACTTCAATGTTGTATTTTCATTATATTTGATTTGGGATACATCGTTATACCATATTCAGGATACGTCGTTACATAGTATTTGACATACAATATTAGCTAGTAGAGTTCGTTGACGCAAAGAGCAGGGGTGGCAGATGGTGCTCGACAGTTGTCGATGGTTGGTGGCGACGGTAATGGGTGGCTATTGAGGCTAAGAGTTGTCGTTGGAACTTTAATACGATATTATTCGTTGCACCTCATTTGAGATATGTCGTTACGCCAAATTTGAGATATGTCGTTGAGGTCGGTGGTGGTCGACGGCGGCCAATGAGCAGTGGTCGACGGTGTAAGATCCGAAAAAATATATATAATTTTTTTCTTTCCTTTTTCATCTCCATCACAATTACCTTTCTTTTCTTGACCATTACCGAATTACCAAACTTAAATCTTTCCTTTTCACTCTTCCCACCTCCTCCTGCCGCCTTTCCTATTTGCCCGATAAGCACCAACTTCACTTCCTATAAATCAGGGTCGAAGCATCCTCATTTGCTCCCCCTACTCTCCCGATCTCCCCATCCCCGCTCTCTCCCGGTCTCCCTCGAAACCATTGCCTTCCACCGAAACCCCGCGATCCAGTTGCAGTTGGAGCTAACAGAGATGGCAACAAGGGGTGTAGAATGCAGAGACCATCAAATCTTCTCCTCCTACTCCGCTTCAATCCGAAAAAAAGGTAACCATCATCTGTCTCTGTTTTTCCTCACCCGCGCACGCTTCTGCTCCTTTTTTTTAACCGAGATTTAGGCAAAATTGGAGGAGAATCAGTATTTAAGAATATTATAGGATTTTTTATGTCATTTTATTTATTAAATCTTCAAGCATTATGGAAATCCTTCAAAACTTGATTTAATTAATAGAAGTTCTATTTTCTTCTCATATCATAATAAAACCAAAACAAAAAATATTATTCTGACAATAATAATAGTATTAATAACACTCAATTAGGTCGAACCTAACTTAATGAATAAATAAGTTTAATTGTTTAATAATTCTACTTTTAATCGGTATAGGATCCATATTTAAAACGTTGAATTTATAGAAGTGTCACCTTGCATCCTCAAGGTAAGTAAATGTTGTTTATTAAAGGATAAATGTATCATTCCTAGTTAAAGGCGTTAATCCTTATTAATTGTGGTACATGCATAGCTACTATATAAGGTTGTCAGTCATACCCTGATTCTTCAATTATAATTATTATGTTTCATTTTTATATGTTTCTATTATAGCTCATATTGAAGCAACCAACTACCTAAATGTATTAATGCAAAACTTCCTCGGTATTTAATTTTAATTCTGCATTATGATGCTTTCTTTTTCTGCACTTGTGTGAATTTGCATTTCATATCACAAGGCTGCATGAAATACTATAACTTTAACAATTTGGCATGCTTGTGTGTGATAGTGTATAGGTCGGTAAAACCCTTTTGGATTTTGGCTAGTCAGGCCAACGGGCCCACATAGTGATGACTCTATAGGAAATCCTCAAGCTTCCTTGGGTTAGTATTTGACATTCTCAATTTCAAGGTGTCTGTTAAAACTGACTATA